GACTCGGAAATTGACTTTTGACTCAAAATAACGCACATGCGCGTATTCGAAATAACGCGCAGGTGTTCAAAATAACGCTCAGGTGTGCGTTATTTCGCGGTTTTACGGTATATAATTTGTAAATTGTCGCATTATGTAATGTCGGTTAAATGGACCGGATTCTTTTTTGTTCAGAAATGTAGCTAACCACGTAAACAAATATGATTCTATATACGTAATATAAAACTACATTCTAGAAAAGACTTACATAATATAAAAAACAATTTAGAAAGAAAATGGGTTAAAATATCATTGAATATTTTCTCCTTTTAGCGCTACACCCCAAAAGTAAGCAAAGTGTTAAAAGGCAGGAGGCGCATACAGAATATTACTGAAAGTAATGCAGAAAGCGATTTTTTTTTGCTTGTGAAGATTTAGCTAAGATCCATTCTTTTATCTGTTACCCGTATCTTGAACCCTCCTAATGCTATTTAATTTATTTTTAGCATTTTTGTGTACCATTTTTTGGCCTCTTCTAAGTTTTTATCCGTCCCTATCCCCTTTCTGTAACATTCGGCAACATTGAATTGACCTAGAGTTTGGAACCGGTTTTAATAATTCGAGTTTATCACGTGAATTTTGTGATATTTTGGAATTTATTCAAATTTAATTGGATTATATTCCAAAATATCACAAAATTCACGTGATAAACTCGAATTATTAAAACCGGTTCCAACCTCTAAATTGACCTACTATAATGTCCTTTTCAACAGCTTTTAAATAATTTTCGAATGCTTTGTTTTTGTCTTTTTTTGTTCCTCTCCCGAACTCATAACAATTTCCCAAATTATTGCATGCAGCAATGCAACCTTTTTCGTATGATTTTTCAAAATATTTAATCGCCTTTTTGTTTTTGTATCTTATTCCTTTTAAAAAGCAAATACCTAAAGAATTAGCAGCTCTTGCACATTCATCCGTTATATCTTTATACCATAGCTTAGCACTCGCTAAATTTTTTATAGTTCCATAGCCATTCCTATAACATTCACCGAAATAAAATTTTGCCATAGTATTTCCATTTTTAGCTTGTTTGAACATATTAAATGCAGTTCTATAATTCTTTCGGTTCCGATTCCTTCCAAATAAAAAAAGCCAAGACATAACCATTCCGAATTATTAACAGCCGACCTTATACATAAAAGATCAAATATATTTCGTGCCGTTTGGTCTTCTTCACTAATAAGAACTTGTATTTTTTTAGAAATTTGTGAAAATTCTACTCCACTGTTTGTCAAACTGGAAAGGTTGTAAAATAATCTATCTAGCAAATCCGATAAATCATCTACTCCATTTGTGATAATGAAATTACAATGAATACCGTTAGATAGCGTGATAAGATTCTCTAAAATAACGTCTAATTCTGGACGTAGGCTTGGTTCAGGGGACCAGCATTTCTGGTAAATATCCACATAACTTGTCGGTGTACCAGAAATAGGACCTTCTCTTTCTTGATTTACAATTTTTGCCATTGTAATCATCCATGGATACTTATTAAATGGAGGGACACCACTTGTGAGTTCCCAGAGAAAAACGCCTAGGCTATAATATCAGATTTCTTGTCACGTTGAATCTTTTCTTGATCATCGCGTTTAGAATTTTCACTATATTGTGGCGCAATAAAGTATTGTGGTTCAGTATATGCCACTACTCCTCTAGGTTTAAATTCCGAACTTGTTATGGATGCATCTATTCGCTTTGATATTCCCAAGTCTGAAATCAAAGCATTACCATTGTTTATTAAAATATTTTTGGAATGCTAATAATTTATAAAAGAATTTAATTACAATTAGTTCAAAACATTTTTATATAATTCCACCTTTTTTTTTTGAGGAAAGAAAACTTACTAGATCCCGGTGAATGATATCATTCTCATGAAGGTGTTTTAATCCTTTAATGATGTCAATCGCAATTTTAATAAGTTCAGACCATAAAATACTATAAATATTGTTTTTTTGCTTTTTAAACAAATGATTTCGTAGGTTTCCACCGTTTGCGTATTGTAATACTAACATGACATTGCCTTCTAACATATCTAAATTATATAAAAAGTAGATTAGATTTTACATTACGTGTATATGTTCGTTTTAAATCGATACATACTTCGTGAAATTCCATAAAATTTTATGATGTTGGGATGATCTTTAAGCTTATATAACATTTCAAGCTGTTAAAAAAATATTAGTATTTTGTGAAGTAGTTATTAGAAGTAAAAATAATTAATAACGAATAACATACTTCTTTCATGAAATATTTAAACTCTCTCTTATCAAAATGAAGATTTTGTTGGAAACTTTTTAGCGCATATTGTTCTTCTTCGAAAGTGGCTAAGTACACAACCGCGAATCCTCCCTTTCCAATAATCCTAAAGTTTTCGCTTCTCGGAAAATCATAATGCTTTATATCTTTATCTTTTAGACATTTTTCTAGTTGTTCTGATAATGTAGTTTCTTCATCTTTCGAATCTTCTTCTAGTTGTTCCGGTAGCGTAGTTGTTGTTTCCATCAATTATAATTGTTTAAGGTTGTTAATAATAGTTATTGTTTATATTAACTATTTAACAATTCAAAAACGCCTTTTGACAAGAGATTAATAACGCAAAACTGTCTAATGAAATTGTATTTTAATATATATGTAGCAAGAATTCATGTGTGATATGTGATATGTACGTACTAGGGATGGAAAATGTATGTTCTTTATATATTTAAAAAACAAATTTAACTTTTCAGACTTTTAAACTTGTGTGTTCGTACATAGTTACGATAATGGTTACTGTAGACGCATTATTTTTATGGATTGGAGCGCCAATAATTTTTTTGGAAGGTTAATCTTAAAAAATGGATAATAAATTTTATCCGACAAACTCTTATGATCATGAATTTATTTATGTCTGTTATTTTTTTCATGTGTTACGAACTATTTACATTTACTCGAATTAAAACTCATGATGTATAAGATATTGGTCAAATGATTGGCTGACATGTGCCGCGTAGCGGCACCTTTCAGCCAATAATTTCCTTCGACAGAACAAATTTTGATATTTATCATCGCATGATCCAATATCGATGTTATCGTGCAATTATGATCATGATTTACGAGTCGTGGTTGGCTAACTGAGTTTTAATTCGGGATTGTTGTGCTTACGTAATAATGTACAAAAAATAACAAGAAAAAAATCTATGATCATAAGAGTTTGCACGATAAGTACTTGTTATCGGATAACACCATTATTCGGCAAATTTTTGAATAGCGGTAATAATTTGACTCAAGTGGGGAAATGATTGGCTGACACGTGCCGCTTCGCGGCGCGTGTTCATTTGCCCGGTTGAACCAAATTACCATTATTCAAAAATTTTTGCCGAATAATGCATACTTATCCCCAAACTTAAATTTGGAGACCAAAATTTAGTTAATTTGACAGACACACCGTAATGTTTACGACAAGAATTCAGCATGGTTTTAACAAATTAATATAGTTATTTTGCAAGTATTATCATAATAAGATTTTAGATAATCTTTTTTAGAGTTATTACCCAGGTTAATAGTTTTTGTGCCTGATAAATTAATATATAAACCGAACCTTTCCGAACTTTATATCGAAAACACTTCAACCTTACTCGTAGTTTGAGTTCATTTTTTTACGTCGGATCACTGCGTAGCTTTATCTATGTTATCCATGACCTGTTTGACCCGGGTCAACGCGACCTGGGTAATGAATATGATATCCTAGTATGGCATTTCATTAGATGGGATCGAAACGTGCCATGCATAAACGCATGCGCCTTAATACGTACGTACGTCGTACATGATCACAATTAAATAATTTTTTAAAGTTAACGACTTTAAATGAAAGTGTGAAAACGGATAAATGTATCATGCGCATGATGAACATGCATATGAACATGCATATCTATGCATAATGTGCATGATTAGCCAATATTATCGTTGTCTGGTGAATCAGTTATTACAAATTTTTTTTTGCATCAACTAATTAAGTATATTATTTTCTTTTCAACATGAATCTTCAAAGCTTTTTTTGCAAGTTTTTCACTTTATATTTGGGGACTATTTTCCTGGTTACTTGTCAATTTATTCCCGACCCTCGATATCTTCAAACAAGTGCCATAGTTAACAATTCAAAATGGTATTTCTTTGGGGGTAACGTTGGGAATAATGAAACTGATGTTAATGAAGTGTTCTACCTTAAACTATCACAATCGTTTAACACTGCTTCACCTTCATGGGTTAAAGATCAAATAGGAAGTCCTCTAACAAATATTCTTAGTACTTCTTGCATTTCTGCTGATAATTCATCCATTTTTATAGTTGGTGGGGTTATGCTAGACCCAGTAACACAAGATTTTATTCCTCACCAACCAGCAGTATATAAGTATAGTTTAAACAATTCAAATTGGGAGGTACCAAACATTACGGGAATTGATAATTTTGCAAATTGTGGTGGACTACAGTCTATTAAAGATAATACTGGAAGAATTTTTTTATATGGTGGAATGTTAAACTTCTCTGAAGTTTGTAATAGAATGAGTATTTTTGATATAAATAATATGTCATGGTTAACAATTAATCTTAGCACTTCACGGATTGGTTATACTGCTACCTTACATAAAAGTGGAAATATAACATAGGCGACTTGAAATTAAAACCTCGTTTAACGTTATTTTTTTTCGTATTTATAAAGGGGGGGAGGGATGAAAATTAA